GGAGAGGAGTCGCTGTCAGGGCGTCCGCAATCAGACACAGTGAAGGGTCACTATGGTGAGGAGTACCAGCTCAGAGCATTAGGCCATGAGAAAGAAAGAAAGAGAGAGAGAGAGAGAGAGAGAGAGAGAGAGAGAGAGAGAGAGAGAGAGAGAGAGGGAGGGAGGGAGGGAGGGAGGGAGGGAGGGAGGGAGGAAGGAAAGAGCGAACATGAAAAAAAAACGCAAGTCTGTGAATTGCAATTGTCTTGTGCAGTCACTGTACCTAGGTTCCCTTGGAGAGAGAAAACTCCCTGCTGCTTTCCTGGGCCAAATCTTGCCTGGCACAGAGGGGTCTGGCCGCCTACCTTTCCCCACCCCCAGCATTAAATCACAAACGATCATTAGATAATTTACTACTTTTTCAGGGTAATCAGTGATCCAGCGCAGGGGGTGTGGCATCCTTGATTGGAGGTCAGGAGTTCGCCTGGCTCCAGACTCGCTCCCAACAAAGCCCCAGTGACTCATCTGGCCTTTACCTCTCCAGGCCCCAGTCCCTCCTCCTGTCTGCCCAGAGAGGAGAACAGCAGTGAAGTCTGTCGTCCTGCTGGGGGGCGGGGGAGGGGGGTGTTCTGCCAGCAGGAGAGAATCTTTCTAAAACATCTTGCCTCTCCTTCTTGGACTCCCAGCACTCTGAGTGCAGGGCGAGCCAGGGCTCTGCAGACTCCTCACCACGAAGGTTCAGGCTCAGGGCTGTTCAGTATGAGGCGTCCTGCCTGACTCCTCATCCCCTTTACTCATCATCTGCCTGCGTGGTAGAGAACTGGACCTCGGGGCTCCACCGGCCCCAGTGTACCCAGGGATAAGACCTTAACCCTCCAGTCACTGATGAGATTAAACACCATCATCATGGCGGCTGACTTTCAGTGGCATTGACTGTGACTTACCCCCACAAGCCCACCTGTTCCTAAAAGCGGCGTTATCAGGGGGGAGCCTTTTAGACAAACTTCATCTGCAGTAAGAGGCACATTATGTTCCACATTTTAACATCTCTGGGAGCAGGGCATGTCCTCTCGCCTCATTAACAGGTACAGCGTGCTTTTATAGTGGCGCAAAAATAAAAATAAAAAAAGATCCAAACCCATCCTAAAACAGAAGCCGCACCATGAAAGAGAAGCTTCGTAGCTCCTAATTTTTCAAAAGAAATGGGGATCTGCAAGGTGGCTCAGCAGGTAAAGGGTCTTGCTGCGAAAGCCTGGTGATCCGAGTCCTGCTCCCAGAACCCATGTTAAAGGTGGAGGGAGATGATTTCTCAGACCTCACTGTGGGTACTGTGGGACACATGCCCCTCCCCCAGCCCCAATAATAATGATAAATACAAACTTAAAAAGTGGTGCACGTATTTCACAAAGTCGCAGAGTAGGGCATGGGGAGAAAGTGATCTGCCTAAGGTCACCTGGGGTGGAAGCCCACATGGCTTATTGGAGAATCTATCTACTCATCATTTGTGCCATTCTGTTGAGTTAGGAGGAGACTCCTCCCAGAATGTTTTTCTGGGAGTTTTTGCATCTGGCCAAGTTAAGACCATTTTTTTTTTTTCTATCTTAGGGTTTAAAGACAGCAAGGTAGAAACTCCAGACACCGAGAGGGGATGTTGGATAAGGCCCCTGGCCTTTTCCAAGTCAGAAACTGTGGGTTCCCTGTGATCCCCCCACATCAACCCTCCCTCTACCGTGCTTACTCTGCCAGACTCTCCCCAGCTTCCTGTGGGGGATAAAGGAAAACAGAACCCCTAAAACAGATCAGGGAGCAGGAAGGGTTCTTCAACAAAAAATTTCAGCCAGGGGATTTGCATGCTTAGATTCCTTCTGTTGGCAGAAACAAAACAAAACAAAACAAAACAACCCACAAAAACCCCAGCAGAACAGAGGCGCATGAAGAGGCTGCCCAGGAAAGCGATCCGTGTAACATTAATTCTGATTTCACAACCTTTATCTCTGTGAGGAGGAGAAACAGCTAGCCTTGGAGGCTATGAAGTCACCTGTGGCCATGCCCGCAATCGACTTGTTATGGCCATGTGACACAGTATGGCCCCACCTTCCTCCTGGGGAGTTAGCCCTCCTTCACTCATCCTCCAGCCGGACATTTTGTTTTTCTCTTTCTATGCGTCTTTCCCCTCCCTCTCCAAAACAGGCCTAGAAACCATCTGACTGTTTTCGTGCCCCTTACACGCTTGGCATCGAACAGGGCAACCTCTGTGTTGGCATCGGGACCTAGAGGAGGACTGAACTTTGGAATGAGCGAGATTCCAGTTCGAATCCCAGCTCCGCCCTTGCCTGGGCCCTGTCCTCTCTGAACTGTGGCACTTCCTCGCATCTACAGGTCCTGACAGACTGTAGATGGCTCTGGGAATTTCACACCTGCCCAGTACAGGTTAGTCATCACCACCGTGGTGGCAACTGAAATTATTGTTAGTTTTATTGGCCCCAGGCTCTGTCTTTATAGCTACATATTTCCTTGTAGTTTGTCATGGCCTGGGTGGGGTTAGTCAGTGCGTTCCAGTGACTCTAAAATGAAATTCAGAAAGGTGTGATCGGCCGGGCGGTGGTGGCACACACCTTTAACCCCAGCACTCGGAAGGCAGAGCCAGGCGGATCTCTGTGGAATTCGAGGCCAGCCTGGTCTACAGAGCGAGATCCAGGACAGGCACCAAAACTACACAGAGAAACCTTGTCTCGAAAAAGAAAAAAAAAAAAATAGGTGTGATCTTCTGAAGGATGGCCAGGGAGACCCTGAGGTCGTCATATGTCTTAGAGAGGAACAGCAGTGAAGGGATGTCTTTAAAAACATACAATCAATTTTATTTATTTATTTTGTGTGTGTGTGCGTGTGCGTGCCATGGCGTGCATGAGGAGGTCATATGGGAAATGCAAACAAAATGCACTGTCTTTCCTATCAAAGAGTTAAACAGAATGAACTCCATCAAAAAAGTAAATTGGAAAGCATCCACTGATCAGAGACTCAAACTCCTCCAGGGTCAGCACTTGCTGAAATCCAAATGTGTGCTCAACTTTCCCTTCTTCCTGGAAACGGATGCTCTGCCTTAGCCAACAGCATGAGAATGTGTTGTGGCGCTCACATCACTCAAGAGACAGACACCGGACCCCTCTGCATTAGGAAAAAAAAAAAAAAAAAACTCAAAGGGACCCCCACTGGGTATGTTTGCTTGCTTGCTTGGGTAGGCACCCTTTGGAAAAAGTAAGGCTATTTACCTTTCCAAAATTCTTTGGACTGTGTGGTCATTTTCTTAAGACCCACTTCCTATAGTCAGAGGACAACTCGTGGGAGTTGGCCAGCGGTGTGGATCCCTTGAACCCAGTCCTGCGACAATCACCTCATGCTGTGGGATGTTCTGTATGGCAAATGTGTTGCTAATTAGTCAATAAATAAAACACTGATTGGCCATTGGCTAGGCAGGAAGTGTAGGCGGGACAAGGAGGAGAATAAAGCTGGGAAGTGGAAGGCTGAGTCAGAGAGACACTGCAGGCCGCCATGATGACAAACAGCATGTGAAGATGCTGGTAAGCCACGAGCCATGTGGCAAGGTATAGATTTATGGAAATGGATTAATTTAAGCTGTAAGAACAGTTAGCAAGAAGCCTGCCACGGCCATACAGTTTGAAACCAATATAAGTCTCTGTGTTTACTGGTCGGGTGTGAGAGGCTGTGGGGCTGGCAGGTGAGAGAGATTTGTCCTGACTGTGGGCCAGGCAGGAAAACTCAAGCTACAACCTCACACATCATTCTCCTTCTCTTTCTGCTCTGCCAGGAAGTTTGGTTCCAGAGGGGGATGCTCTGGGTCAAACACACTCAGTGAAGTATTTAGAGATAACAGGAGAAACACAAGGTTGTGTATCATCCCCAGTGGGCAGAGCCAGGAGGGGTGAGCGAAGATGTGTTTCTGTTTCAAGAGTAGCAGCCTTGGGGCTGGAGAGATGGCTCAGAGGCTAAGAGCACTTGCTATTCTTGTGGGAGACCCGGGTTCGACTCCCTGTACATACATGGCAATTCACAGTCACCCTTAGCTCCATCCAGTTCTAGGGGATCCAGTGCCCTTCACAGGTATCAGGCACACAGTGGCAAAACATTCACACACATAACAGAAAAATAACAAAAATCTTTAAAAAACCAAAGAAGCTGCCTTGGAGCATTCTGAACCATGTGTAAAGTACTAGAGAGTTTTACGACTCCTCTGCCATAGGCCATCCTTCCTGGGGGTATGACTCTGAGCCCTCCTGAATCCCTGCGGGTGGACTAGAGTGGGCTGGCATTGGCACCCTCCCCGCTTGCCTAACGATGGTGGAGTACGACATCAAAGTTAAACATGCTTAAAACATCATCTACCGAATTATGACGTTTGCACCCAGAAACCCTTGACTTGAGTCAGTGCCAACGACACAATAGCACGTTCCAGACCTACCTTACACACACGTGTAAATAGACAGTTACCGTAATTCACTTCTCTTGCTCTTTGTACTTATTGAGGCCTAGTTGACATCCCCATTCTCAGTAGGCCGGAGGCGAGGAAGGCTCAGAGACGCTGAGAAACTTGCCTGATGACGCACAGCAGGCGGCATCCGCAGCCAACCCAACCTTCAACCTCAAATGTGACACCCTGGCAGCCAATTCCTCCACAAAGTGGGGGGGGGGGGGGCTGTCTCTCTCGCCCAGCGGATCTCTGGAGCTAAGTTCTGGGATTCCCAAGCTACATTCATCTTCATTTCCCCCTGACGCTCTGCAGTGTCTCCGTCGATTTAGCCCATCATTTGGGAATTACTGGCTAATGGGATGGGCCCAGCTCGCACTCCCGCTTCGTGTTTTCAATTCTCCGTGAGAAACCAACCGTCCAGAACAACAGGGAGGTCTGGACAATTTAATTATACCTTAGGCCCTCGTCCCTCCCAGGCGGACTGAACCTGATCCATTTTCTCCGGTTCAGCGGAGGGGGGGGGGGGGCGACTCACCTGGGATTGATCCGAGACGTCAGAAGGCCAGAGGGCCTTCTTGCTGGGGACGCTCTGTAACTTTTTGGTGGCCGGCACTTTGGTCATCTTGGAACGACTTCAGGCTTTTTTTTTTTTTAATAGCCCGTGCCTCCACGAGAAGGGGTTTTTGCTGCCTTTTCCAGAATCCTCGACTTCGGCCCTCACTGGTGCGAAAAGGTCCAGAAGAGTCCCCCAGCTCCCCAAGACCCAAGTCCAGGGACTGCAAGGAGGTCTCCCTGAGGACTAGTCGGAAAGCTGAGCATCCGGTTTCCCTGGGTGAGGAGGTCTGGCGAGGTGGGCAGGCAAGCAGCCGGGGCCCTGCTCAACTGACACCAAGTCACTTTGTAAGTTTCCCCTGTTTTTAAGGAGGGGATATATTTTTTTCCCTCTTCTATAAGCAAAATAAAATGTGAGCTGAAAAATATAAAACTCTACAGACAAAAGCCCCACCCTCGCCCGGCCAGGGAGGCCAGGGAGCTAGGCGGCCCCGCCATGGGGCTCTCAACCTTGGGGCCTAACTGCCAGGTAGCGCTCGCTCGGTAACCTGGCAACGGGACGCCTCCAGGCCGCGCTTCCTCCTTGGCTGGGATTGGTGGAGGTGAGCACAGGCACTCTTCCTGGTTGCTGGGAGTGGGCTCTGAGCAGGTGGCTGGCCAGGGAGCCACATGGTTCAAACTCTTTTGTGGGGGGAAGGGAGTGGAGGAGGTGTTATGCTTTTTTTTTTTTTTCTTTTCTGCTCAGGCCCGAGGACTCCAGCCTTCTCTCCACTTGCTTTGAAGATTTCTTCCTTTCAAAGTCAGTTTCCTCCCTGTTGCTCATCTAAAGAGTGTCTTCTCGGGTTTTTGTATTAAACGCTCAGATGTGTGCCTCCGCAATTATCAACCGCAGGGACCTATTGTCCTTCCTACCTGAAAACTCCTACACGCCCTTCAACACCCATGCACAGATATAGATTTATGGACACACACGCACACACACACACACACACACACACACACACACACACACACACACGTTCGGGTATGCTGTTTATTGGGAGCCAACAATACACAGTGTGCTGGTTGTGTCTTTCACGACACAGCACTCTTGAATGGGCTGACATTGCAGTCCAGAACTGTTTGATTCTTAACCCCGAGGTTTTACCCACGGAGGTAAGAGACCTAACTTTGTGAGCTTTGGATTTCCACGTCTTTAAAGCGGGGGCTGCAGGATTCCTACTGGAGGCCGAGGATGAAAGAAATAAGACGCCACGTGGGGAGCCCAGGTGGAGAGGCGCTGTGAGTGACCCTGGGAAGCGGCCACGTTCTGGCTGCTCCGGGCTCACAGCCGAGCAGATGTTAATGCTGACTGATACTTATTGACTACCTGCTCTGCGCCAGCCCGCTGCAATTTAACCCGTATATTTGGATTCGCATGCTTTCTCCTTGGCTGTATTTTATTCCGCTTCATTCCCGCCCGCGGTTTGTTCCTACACCTTGAGCTGTGAGGGTTCTGAGCTCACCAGGGCTCCACCTTCCCTCCTTCGGGCCCCCTCCCACTGCAGGATGGCTCTCTACCGAGTGCAAACGGCCTCCCTCCCACACTGCTGATCTTCTCTCCATTGTCTGAAGCCCGAATCTGGCCTTCCTCTCCACAGGAAGTCTGGGTCTGCCTGCTTCCTCCGTGGGTAGCATTCAGCGACCCTGGAGTGTTTTCTGAAGGCTGAAGATACACAAAGCCGTGTTTAGAGGATGGGGCTGGGTATGAGGAAGCCAGGCAGAGCGGGAACCGTTCAGCCTGGCCGGAGCGGGAGTCTGAGGAAGGGTGGCTTACAGGGCATTGTGGGTCGAGGGTGGTGAGATGGCGTCAACTAGTTCTGCGTGATCTGGAGGAAGGGGTTTGAGCTCAGCTTGAGGACATCTACACAAACATAGCACCACTGTGTACTAGTGTTAATTGTGTGGTGTCCTTGGTTCCACTAGGGTATTTCCACGTATGTGTATTATGTAATTCAATCAATTCGCTTCTTCTTGTGCCTCTTCCCTCCCCCTCCTCCCCTTCCACACTCCCAACGTTTTCTTCCCCTTGATTCCAACATATAAAAGAAAACATGCAATTCTTGTCTTTTTGAGTATGCCTTAGTTCACCTAACACTAAATTTCTATTTCTAGCCATTTCCTTGAAACCGAGTAATTTCATTCTTCACGGTGGAATAAACCTCTATTGTGAATGCAGACAATGTTTTCTTCGAGGATTATATGTGTGTGTGTGTGTGTTTGTGCATGTGTGTTTATTTGTGCATTCCTCTGTGTGTGTGTGTGTGTGTGTGTGTGCATTTAAGTGCAGTATTCAAGGAAGCCAGAAGAGGGCGCTGGATTCCCTTGGAGCTGGAGTTACATGAAGTTGTGAGCTGCCTATGTACACCTTAGGAACCAAACCAGTAGACACTATTAACCACAGAGCCATCTCTCCAGCCTGAGATCATGTTCTCCTTGTTCACTCATTTGCTGAGGGGCACTTAGGTGATTCTATGACCTGGATGCTGTGGATAGTGACGTGAAAATGGACCAGGCTCTGTCCTCAGCTTGGTCATTGAACAGCCTCAGTGATAACAGTCTGGCTGGAGCAGGCTGAAACCAAAGGGGCCGGTCTCCATGACATGCAGGGTCTAGCACAGAAGATGTGCTCAACGAGACCAGGACTCATTTCTTTGTCATTTGTCACCTGCTTGAGTCAAACGAGAATTGGGAAATCAGAAAGTCTTTGGAACAAGAAGACTTGTGTTCAAATCCCGGTTCTGCTGTTGACTGGTCATAAGACCTAAGTGAAGTTCTTCCCATTTCCCCAGCTTTAGTTTCTATCACATGTGTGAAAGTCACATGCACTGACAGTTCATCCGTTTTATTCCTGTCATTGAGAGCTAAGGGACAGTGTACAGAGCTCCAGTCCCAGATGGTTGGTGTCATCTCCCTTCTCTGGTCAAGGGTTATGCGGTTTAAAGCAATGGGTGAGCTCCCCAGTGCTCAAGGTGTTCGGCAAATGCTGTTTGGCTTCTTCCCAGGCCTGTGGTTCACGAATTAAACCAGTGTTTAAATCCCAACCCACAATTACCAGCTGTGCAAAACTACCCACATAATTTTTCCTAGAGCCTTAATTTTCTCCTTATAGAGTGGTGAAAATTGTACCCCCATGAAAATGATATAATGTCCAGAAAACATCCAGTCCACTGGCTGGCATGCAATAAACACGTGGCAAATGTTAGCAATTTTTATTTTATGGCCATATGAACCAGACCACTTCTGAGATCAACTTGTTAATTCGGGAATCAACTACTTAAGGGGAAAACGCTCCCTGATCTTAGAAGACCTCTGAATCTACTTAGTTGGGGAGTGCGTGCGTGTGCGTGCACACACACACTCACGAATCTCACACACACACATGCATAGGCATACACTCAAATTTATACATTCACACACAGATGTATGCCCACTCACATGCATTCGTATTCGCACACAGGTGCACACCCACTCACACCTGCTCACATACCCACACATTCACTCACACACACATGCACATGTGCACACACATACACATATGAGAGAGAGACAGAGACAGAGAGACAGAGAGAGAGAGACAGAGAGAGAGCATATAAAAATTTATTTCAATTGAGATCTTTTAAGAATATACCTGGTGGTGGTGTGTGCCTTTAATCCCAGCACTTGGGAGGCAGAGGCAGGCAGATATGTGAGTTTGAAGCCAGCCTGGTCTACAGAGCGAGTTCCAGGACAGGCTCCAAAACTACACAGAGAAACCCTGTCTTGAAGAAGAAAAAAAAATAAGAACATACCCAAATGGCTTCTATGTGTGCTATTTTCTTGGTATGTTTTAAGTGTGTTTCCAAATATTCCCTCTTTGGGGAGCCTGGTCCTCAGTGTTGGGATGTAGAAGAAGTGGAACTTTAAGAGGCAGAGTCTACTGGGTAGTCATTGGGTCATTGAGACTACTTCCCTGGGAAGGATTTGACCAGTTCTCCCGGGACCCTGGTTGATTCTACGAGGGGTTTATTACACAATGACAAGCCTGGCCTCTCCCTGTTTTCTCTAATTTCCTGCCTCTGCACCTGACCTCTCTTTCTCTGGTGCTCTTCCACTATGATGTCATCTGCCATGATGTCATCTGCCATGATGTCATGCCTCTAGTGGCATGCCCCCGCTACAGCCAACACCATGCTGTTTGGACTTCCAGCCTCCCAAACTGCGAGCCAAGTAAACCTCTTTGCTTCATAAGTTATACGGTCTCAGGCATCGTGTTACGTATGTGGATACAAGCTGATACAACCCGGAGGAGATTGGCTAGGGAAGAAGAAACAAAAGCAAGGTGCAGAGCGCGTTGAAGAAGGAAGAAAGATGGGATAGGAGGAGCTGCACCCTGAGATACAGCTCTGAGAAAGTCTTGGCCAAGCCAACTCAATGCCATACTTCAGAGCTGGTGGTTCAGCGATGGCTTTAAAAGATGATTCCTAAACCCTCTGAAGCCAGCTGCTTTGGGCTGGTGTGATGGTTGGTTATGACCAGACCCTGTGGCCACCGGAAAGAATGTTTCCAGCTGCTCAAAGTTCCTGGGGCAGTAGAAAGTTGATGTTGGCAGTCAACATGATTGGTACTCAGTCTTCTCACCTCCCAGTTCCTAAGCAGAGATCTTTGCTACCATTTACCTAAAACCCACACTCCCTTGGGAAATGGCACCCTTTGCTTCCTAGTAATTCTTTTTGCTATCTTAATTTATTTTTGTTTATTTATTTCATTACCTCTAAGCCAAAAGTAGTATCTCGAGAGTCTCATTTATTAAGGATATAGGTCTACACAAATTAGTATTTGTGTTTTTTAACAATATGGTAGCCATTTTTTTGGGAAAAGTACATTGAAAATCCCCAAAGTACATAAAATTATTTAAAAACTAATGTTTGTATTTGATTCTTAAATAGCTACAGTTTCTTACCAAGGTGTTTGCCGCTCAATTTCCCAAACCCTGACATTAGACTAGACACCATCAATTACACTTTGTGTCACACTAATTTCTGTGCCTCT